ACTGGTACCTAGGAGTTCGAGGCTGCAGTGAGCTGTGATCGCACCACTACACTCCAGCCTGGGCCACAGACTCCACTACACTCTAGCCCTGTCTCTTATAGTAAAAAAAGAAACGGGCCGGGTGCAGTGGCTCACGCCTGTAATCCTAGCACTTTGGAAAGTTGAGGCGAGCAGATTGCCTGAGGTCAGGAGTTCAAGACCAGCCTGGGCAACACGGTGAAACCCCGTCTATACTAAAATACAAAAAATTAGCTGGGCATGGCAGCGTATGCCTGTAGTCTCAGCTACTCAAAAGGCTGAAGCAGGAGAATTGCATGATCTCGGGAGGCGGAGGTTGCACCGAGATTGCACCACTGCACTCCAGCCTGGGCAACAGAGCAAGACTCCATCTCAAAAATAGAAAGAAAGAAAGAGAAAAATACCCAACTCCTACTTAAGTCACAACATAGCATAAGGTAAAAGAAGTAACATATAATCAGCATAGTATCACCTTTCTTTAAAATGTGTACATATTTGCAGTAGTCACATATTAAACCCATGCTGTGTAACATGTATGTAGACATAATACTGGAAAAAAATTCACGTTGTTAATACTGGTTATCATTGAGTTGTAAGATTGAAGATGATTTTTATTCTGTGTTTTCTATTGTAAATATTTTTGTAATTAGCAGAAATCTAGTAAATAGTAATTAATCAAACTACGATTTCATGTGATTTCCTTTGGATATATATACAAGTGAAAACAACAACAAAAATTGGTTTTCCCCATAAAAACCCGTGAGTAAGTTTCGGGTCCTTTAGTATTCTGTTACCATTGGCCTGCATGATAATTTTGTGGAAATCAGCCAAAAGTACCCTCACCCTCTAACACCACCTTCATATGGTTGCCTTTCAAAGGTCTTCCGTCTTCTGAGGGCAAAAGCCTCATTAGGGCTTGACAAGTGGACTGAATTTCAGCTCCCAGTAACTCCCTTGGCTGGTTAGTTTTGTGCCATGCGAAACTGTACAACTCTGTGACATGGCCTTATTCAGTCTGTCTATCCCCCAGTGTGTGATTTAGCTCTATCCTAAGTCTTTCAACTTGTTTAGCCTTTCATTCACGGAGTGTCATCTACGTGACATCACTCATTGCCGTTACATCAGATAACCTTTTCCCTCCTCACATGCCACAGTTACTCTCACATTAATTAGTTTGCTCATTCTGGCTTTTTATTTTTGGGCTACACTCTCCCCTGTCCATCTAGACCCTGCTATCTCCCCAATAATTATTTTCCTTGGAATCTTTGTGGCTTACTTCAGTCAATGTTATTCTTCCTGTCTTCAGTCTTCTGTCCCATTTATTCTTCATGTTATTTATCTTATAGTTATCTTTCATTCTGACAAGTAGTTATTGATGTTCATTCATGGGCCTGGCACTATTGCAGGCACTGAAGATACAGTGGGGAAAGAAACAGACTTCTGCCCTTAAGGAACTTATATTTTAGTGGTAAAATAGATAGTAAGCATACTTGATTATTTGAAACACATGTTCGGTTTGTTTTACCAGCTATAGAATTGTTAGCCCCAGGACTAGAAATTATATTTAAGAACAAAAAATTGTTTTAGTATCTAAGTATAAGATGTTTCCTAGATACTCATTAAAACTCTCAGAAGCTTGTGGATGACCTTCATTTTAATTTACCTTAGCTGTGAAGTATTTTCTTGCATATATTTGTTTTTTAGTATGGTCTTAGCTATTTATTGCAAAAGATTGAGGACAAGTAGTATAATGATATTTTGTTAGCGAGGTGTTATCTCATTTTAATTTACATGAATTTTTTCAGTTATTTATTTACTTTTATTTATCGAATCTTTTTTCCTCTATATTCAAGAAGGTACAGGTATTTGGGGCATAATACTGAGATTCTCTTCAAGTCAAAGGATGTTAACTGAGTGCTTGTTGTGTGAATATCCTAAAACAGGTGCCAAGGGGGATAAAAGTATAAAATAAGGTCTAGTACCTGCTTTCAAGGAATTTAGAGTCTATAAGGAGGAACAGATAACAGATATGGAAAAAAAACTCTGGCTTCAGTTTTTCTCATTTGTAAAAATGATCAGATGTCTCATTTAGTTAAATGAAAGTGGAAAATAAGTCTAGAGTGATATTTATTTCTGTTATTACCTCAGATAAGTGGGCACAAGACAAATGAGCTCTTGAATTGGAAGCTTATACAAAGCCCCCACTGTATACTAATTCCACCTTCACAATAGAAACCTTGATGGAAGCAAAACAGTCAAGTTAATAGATAATGAAAATGTGTATGTGAGATACCAAGCTTCGGAGTTATGAAGCTCTTGATCAGAAATTTCATTATCAAGCATACTGGTGTATTTTTAAATGCCAGGTAAACAGCAATATTAAGAGCTAATTAAAAGAACGTTAATATTTGCTGAAAATGCATAATTGGAGAAAGTTAAAGTTAAGTTTAATCTGAGACATTGGTAGAGAAAGTTAAGCTTTGCTTGTTTAGGCCAGTGCAGGAGCATGTTTACCAACAATCCCTGTGGTAACTTAGAAGGCACGGAGATAATGATAATAGAAAAACAGAAGTACTGGCCAGGCGCGGTGGCTCACGCCTATAATCCCAGCGCTTTGGGAGGCCGAGGCGGGTGGATCATGAGGTCAGGAGATCGAGACCATCCTGGCTAACATGTTGAACTCTGTCTCTACTAAAAATATTAAACAATTAGCCGGGCATGGTGTCGTAATCCCAGCTACTCAGGAGGCTGAGACAGGAGAATCACTTGAACCTGGGAGGCAGAGGTTGCAGTGAGCCGAGGTCACGCCACTGCAGTCCAGCCTGGGCGACAGAACAAGACTCCATCTCAAAAAAGAAGAAGAAAAAAAAAAAAGAAAGTAAAACAGAAGTGCTTCTACTCCTAGCAACTCTCAAGACTTGATGCTCCCACAGTATTGCTGGGTTACCCACAACAATACTGAAATATTTTATTTCTGTTTCTTCAATGCCATGCTCACTCTTACTTAGGCCACTGCATGTGTTTTTCTTCTTGTCCTGGAGTATCTTTTGCAGTTCACTCTCCCTTTCCCATGGCTTATTCCTATTCATTCCCACTCATCTTAGGTGCCACTTTACCCGGAAAGTCTTTTTTGGTTCCCAAATTTGGGTTAGATTCTTCTTACCAAAGGTATTTTTAAAATACTATAAACTCTCTCATTGTAGCTATTTAATTCTTAGTAACTGCTTCCTTACTAATAACCCTGACTAGACTGTGATATCCATTAGGGCAAAAATTAGATTGGCTTGCATCTCCAGTACTTCGCACAGTGCAGGTATTTATCAAATGGCACTGCTTTGCTAGGCACATACATTTTGATATGGCTATTTTTCTTCTTACAGGATTTTGTTTACAGGGGATTTGGGATATTATTTATAGAGCTGTGCTCTTGTCCTCGAGTTTATAGTCTAGCTGGAGAGCCAAAGTGAAAGTACATAAAAAAGTAAAATAATAGGGCCAGGGCGTTGGCTCACACCTATAATCCCAACACTTTGAGAGGCTGAGGCAGGAGGGATAACTTGAGGCCAGGAGTTTGAGACCAGCCTGGGCAGCATAGTGAGAGCTCATCTCTACCAAAAAAAAAAAAAAAAAAAAAAAAAAGCTGGGTGGGGTGGTACACACTTGTGGTCACAGCTACTTGAGAAACTGAGGCAGGAGGATATCTTGAGCCCAGGAGAGTGGAGACTTCAGTGAGCCATGACTACCCTAACTGCACTGCAGCCTGAGCAACAGAGTAAGACACTGTCTTAAAACACACACACACACACACACAAAATAATAAAAGGTAAAGGCCAGTATGAGTAGGTTAAATGTTGGCCCAAGGCAGAATAAATATCCCAATTTAAACATTTTCAATTTAAAAATGAACTTTTGACTCATTTTTTATTTGTGAAATAGAAATGATATTGCCTGCCTTGCCAGTCTTATAGATTTGTCAGGTTGACGTATGACAAAAAACAAGATAATACAGTAAAATTTATTTGAAAAAATAAAAAAAGTTCTAGAAATAAGTGCTACAAAGGAGAAATTTGAGTGTTTGACAGCGATCCAAATAACATGACCTCAGAAGTTAGGAAACGATTCTGTAAGAAAATAATATTTGAGCTGAGCTTTAAAAAAAGCCTTTCTGCACCTACCTGAAGATATGACTAAAATTAGAGCCTTAGAACCACCCCCTTGTAACCACATAGCACTCTGGAGGAGTTGAGCTGTTTACCTCATTTGCTCTGATGCAAAAAAAAAAGAATGAGAAAGGGTCTTTTAAAGTCTAGTTTACTTGTTTTATACTCTTTTTCAGTGTAGGAAAGGACCCCAGAAAAATTTGACTGATTTGTCTAGAGGGTTTTTGTTTGTTTTTTTTAAGATTTAAGTCGTGTAAATGAAAAGATGTATTTCTAAAAAGGGTTTTGATGGTCTGAAAAACCCATTAATACACTAGAAATTTTCCTTCTATGAAAAAATGATGTTAATGTAGCATTTGTATTTAAAACAGTTCCTGAACTGGCCTCCTTTAGCCCCACTGACGGTGAGGATAAGCCATATGTTTTACTATCTGTAACCAGAGTGACCCAGCTGTGGTCATAGATACTAGGGGAAGACAGGAACAGGAAAGAAAAAAAAGATAATAATACTTCAGGTAAAAATAACCTGAGATGATTATATATAATTTGAATCATCTATATGGTAGCAATGTTCGTAAGTAATTTTTTTAAAAATGCAAAAATGTTTCTATCTATATTGAGACTGTAGTAGAACTTCCTTATAGTGTCTGTTCCCTTCTTTAATGTTTTCTTATGTGAAATATTCATGCCAGAAGACTCATTCATTAGCAGGAGAAAATTATGTCCCTAATTTTTGCCTCATCAAGAAGTTTCACATTATATAACAAAGTTTACTGAAAAGTCACCATTTTCTTTTTGACTTAGTCATCTCATTTTTGATAGATTGCAAAGGTCGACTGCAAGGAAGTACTAGACATCATTTGTAATCTGGAATCTGAGGGGCAGGATAACACAGCATTTGTTCTTTGTACGACTTACCTTACCCAGCAGCTCCAAACTGCAAGTGTATATTGTTCTTGGTAAGTATATTTAGTTTTACACTCTTTATTTGTTAGCACATAGTATATAGCATTTAGGGTTTATGTAAAATGTTAATTTGTTTCTAATTTAAAACCTAGCATGAACTGTGAATAGCTTCTTGCTTCCACACAAAATCATTTAATTAAAAATATCATTGGTTTAATCTAGTCAAGAAAGGGTAAAATATTCCTCTTGATTATCCCATAAAGGGTTGTCTGTTAACTCCAATATATGTCTTCTATCTTGAAGATAAAATTTTGTCAATATGAAACAAACCTGTATTAGATTGTTTTTCTTTTCATTTTTTTAGTATCTTCTGGGTAGTCCTTCCCATTCTTATTTGGGAACCCACAGATGAAAAGGATCAAATTATCTAGGTTTCTAGGTCAAACTAGCACTAAAAAAGGAATTCATTTGAATAGTAATCTCTTTTGCAACTTTGGAACTATATAGTTGAATTGCATTATTTTGGTTTTAATTCAATTTATATCTTGTTTGCCTACAGAATACTTAGTTGCTAAAAAGGAAACAGTAAGTGTATCCATGGTTCTTTCATTCTAACTGTATTGAATCTATTTAGGCCAAAGGGACAAACCTGATACACAGGAAACCTCTAAAATGTAAGACTCTCTGTCAGTAAGTATCAGATTAGTGGTATGGATAATGCTATAGGAGATCAGAGAGAGGTGCTCACTGTATACCAGAGTATTAAAGGTGTCAGGGAGGAAGTAATATTTGAGATTTAATTCTAAGAATGGGTTGGATTTGCATTATCTTGATTAGAGGAACTCTGACTATTTCAGAACCTAAGGATGGCTTAAAATTGGAAATGAGCATTTTGTTTATAGGAAAACCTAGTAAAGCCTTTTGTGTACTTCAGCCCTCATTGATCTCCCTCTGGATCATCTGTCTATTTTAATAATTTTATGGTTAATACTGTTGTATGTTACTATATTTCTTTTTGTTTATTATTTTATGTAGAAATTTGTGTGCTGTAATCTCACCCAGTCCTCATAATAATCATTGCACAGGTGAGGCAGTTGGGGGATCATAGGGACCAGAGAAAACTTGTAATTGTCCATGGTCTCAAAGCTAAAGTGGTAGAGCTGAGATTCAATCCCAGGTTTTAAACTTCTAATCTAGTACTTTTCTTCTGTATACGTGTTTTCTTGGCATAGGCCAAAATTCAAATTGTAGTTTTTTGCCACCAAATCCACTATGCCAGAGTTATACCTCCTGTGAGAAAGGAGATAGTGAGATGGGGACTTAAATATAATTTCTTTATAATGAAAAAAGTATCTACCATTATAGCTAGGTTTTCAGTACAAATAATAATTTAAATCGTATATGGAATGTGTTATAGAGTGTGTTTAAAATTTTTCTCCCCTTCTTTAGTCGCCCACCATTCACTCTTCCAGAGCTGTTAGTGGCTCTAGGATTAATGCTGTTCTTCTATAGCAGGAAGGGATTAATAGAGATATCCCTTTGTGGCCTCCTCAGGAGCTATAATGAGTAAAGGAAAGAAAATCTTAGTCATTTCACACTTTGTTAAAAGTAAGCTTCTTTCAAGCAATTCAAGGAGAAATCACAGCTTTTTTTTGTTTTTGTTTTTGTTTTTGAGACCGAGTCTTGCTCTGTCACCCAGGCTGGAGTGCAGTGGTGTGATCTCGGCTCACTGCAACCTCCGCCTCCCGAGTAGCTGGGATTACAGGTGCAGGCCGCCATGCCCAGCTAATTTTTGTATTTTTGGTAGAGACTGGGTTTCACCATGTTGGTCAGGCTGGTCTCGAACTCCTGACCTCATGATATCTACCCGCCTCAGCCTACCAAAGTGCTAGGGTTATAGGCATGAGCCACCGCACCTAGCCACATCTTTTTTTTTTTTTAACCCTTCCATTGTTTTCGAAAGCTTTTTTTTTGGTAGTGGGATGCTGGAGTTAGAATATTAGAATAACATAAAACGTTGAATTTTGGCCAGGCATGGCTCACACCTGTAATCTCAGCACTTTGGGAGGCCGAGGTCGGTGGGTCACCTGAGGTCAGGAGTTCAAGACCAGCCTGACCAACATGGTGAAACCCCATCTCTACTAAAAATACAAAAATTAGCCATGCATGGTGGCAGGCGTCTGTAATTCCAGCTACTCAGGAGACTGAGGCACCAGAATCGCTTGAACCTGGGAGGTGGAGGTTGCAGTAAGCTGAGGTCATGCCAGCTCAGGAGACAAGAGCAACTCCGTCTCAAAAAAACCACAAAAAACATTGAATTTTACTAAGGAAAATTAATCACAGGAATTCTGTTCAAATGAGATAGATTATTTTGTTATGCTTGAGGTAGTGGGACATAAGGAGTATCTGTTTAAAAAAAAATTTTAAATTAAGTGGTATTTTGGATAAGAGAGATATCAGTATTTTTTAAATGTGGCAATAAAGTTGAAATACAAAGTAATAAAAGTAGTCATGCTTATTTTTAAACACATATGCTAGAATTTATTTCTTGGGAGTATCATTCTTGAGTGTAGTTACCATGAAGATAATATTTGAAATGTAAACTATGTAGCTATCGGCCGGATGCAGTAGCTCACGCCTGTAATCCCAGCAATTTGGGAGGCTAAGGTGGGTGGATCATTTGAGGTCAGGAGTTTGAGACCAGCCTGGCCAACATGGTGAAAATCCATCTCTACTTCAAATACAAAAATGAGCCGGGCATGGTGGCGTGCGCCTGTAATCCCAGCTACCCTGGAGGCTGAGGCAAGAGAATTGCTGGAACTCGGGAGGCAGAGGTTGCAGTGAGCCGAGATCATGCCACTGTACTCCAGCCTGGGCGACAGAGCAAGACTCTGTTTCAAAAAAAAAAAGCCAGATGGTACTGGTGCACACCTATAATCCCAGCTACTCAGGAGGCTGAGGCAGGACAATTGCTTGAGCCTGGGAGGTGGAGGTTGTGGTGAGCCAAGATCACAACACTGCACTCCAGTCTGCACAACACTGCACAACAGTCTGGGTGACACAATGAGACCCTGTCTCAAAAAACAAAACAAAACAAAAACAAAAACCTATGTAACTGTCACTCAGAACATTTTTTATTCTTTTAGAAATTTCCCTCAGAGACATTTACAAACCACAGTAAAAAGTAAAAATGTTTTAAACTTTGCAGCAGTTATTGTTTAACTTACTTATTAATATTGACCCCAAAAGATTTTTGATTGTTGGAGAAAATTAAAGAAGTACTAGAAGAGGCCGGGCTCGGTGGCTCACGCCTGTAATCCCAGCACTTTGGGAGGCCGAGGCGGGCAGATCATGAGGTCAGGAGATCGAGACCATCCTGGCTAACACGGTGAAACCCGTCTCTACTAAAAATACAAAAAATTAACTGGGCGTAGTGGCGGGTGCCTGTAGTCCCAGCACTCGGGAGGCTGAGGCAGGAGAATGGTGTGAACCCTGGAGGCGGAGCTTCCAGTAAGCCGAGATCATGCCACTGCACTCTAGCCTGGGCAACGGAGCAAGACTCCATCTCAAAAAAAAAAAAAAAAGAAGTACTAGAGGAGTAAGCTCCCTGTAGATGCCTCTCAGTAGTAATATAATTGGAATAACCATGCATTTGAAAAAGGTGACCATTTTGAGTGAGATGATGTATATATAGAGAGAGGTGTAATTACTGCAGCCCTTTTAAAGTCATAAAGTTGAACTTTGAACCTCCACAGTAAGCTTTCATTGAGTATTTGATAGACTGGCCTTTGCTTTCTGTAATGTGTCTGAGCTTAAATTTTGTGTTACACATTTGTGTTTCTTCAGATGTAGTTACATGTCTGTTCTGCCCCAACTAGACTGATATACCAACCAATATGTTGTTTAATTCACAGTTGTGTCCTCAATAACTGGCGAAGACTAGCATATGTGTTTTATTTAACAGAATTTTGTGGGAGAGAAAAGAGGTCATGGGGGTCAATTACTATTGTATTAGCTTAAAAACTTTTTCTGTAATAGCCTTTTTTAGGGAATGATCATCCCTTGATTCCACAGTTTTATTTACTTCATTCCTAAAATACGTGAATTCTGAATCCCAGTGTAACATGTTAACTGGACTTCATGGGCTTCTTGCTATGTAGAAACACCGAGTAATGTTTGTATGCATATATGTATGTATGTATGTATTTATTTTTGAGACAGAGTCTCACTCTTGTCACCCAGGCTTCAGTGCAGTGGTGCAATCTCAGCTCACTGCAGCCTCCGCCTCCCGGGTTTAAGCGATTCTCTGCCTCAGCTTCCCGAGTAGCTGGGATTACAGGTGCCAGCCACCACACCCGGCTGATTTTTTGTATTTTTAGTAGAGACGGGGTTTTACCATGTGGGCCAGGCTGGTCTCGATCTCCTGACCTCAGCTGAGCCACCACGCTGGCCAAAACACAGAGTAATTTAAAGTTCTTGCTTAGTAGCTAAATTCCTACCAAAATGTGTTTCTTGCTATTAACAGAGCTAAATTTCCTTTCCAATTTTTATAAATTTATATATAACTTGTTGAAATGAGCTAGGTAATGGGCAAAATCGTGGGCACAGTAGATCATCTCAACATTGGAAGCATACATACAATGGAATCATTTTCCATGATTTTCAATGGTTGGCTTTTTTAAAAAAGTCGCATTATTGTAGTAATTGAAGAAGAACTTATCCTAGTGCATGTTTGATCTATCAGGCTGTCGGTTACTATTGGATGTTGGTTTCAGTGTTCCAGTGTACAGATTTGAATGGATGATTGAAGTGACATCTTGCATCCTCATGAGTAATATACTGGCTGTCATGGTTTCAGGCATGTTTATATATTTGGATGGGTAATCATTTTATATCGATTTAGAACTATGCAAATATTTTTACAAAATACACCATAAATGCCCGTTTTTGATCATGCTTATTTGGAGTTAACATACTTGGAGCCTGAAATATTTAATTTGGAATACCAAGCCCTGGACATTCTGACTTACTCTTTTAAAAGTTATTTGAGTGGCTGGGCATGGTGGTTTATGCGTGTAATCCCAGCATTTTGGGAGGCCGGCGCTGGTGGATCATGAGTTCTGGAGTTCAATACCAACCTGACCAAGGTGCTGAAACCCCTTCTCTACTAAAAATACAAAAATTAGCCGGGCATGCTGGCAGGCACCTGTAATCCCAGCTACTAGGGAGGCTGAGGCAGGAAAATCGCTTGAACCTGGGTGGCAGAGGTTGCAGTAAGCTGAGATCGCACCACTGCACTCCAGCCTGGGTGACAGAGCAAGACTCCATCTGGGGGGCAAAAATTATTTGAGCCTGTAATCCCAGTACTCTGGGAAGCTGAAGTAGGTGGATCTCTTGAGGTCAGGAGTTCGAGACCAGCCTGGACAGCATGGTGAAACCCCATCTTTACTAAAATTACATAAATTAGCCAGGCATAGTGGCATGTGCCTATAGTCCCTAGCTACTCAGAAGGCTGAGGAAGGAGAATTGCTTGAACCTGGGAGGTGGAGGTTGCAGTGAGCCGAGATCATATCACTGCATTCCAGCCTGGGCAACAGAACAAGACTCCGTCTCAAAAAAAAAAAAAAGGCCAGGCTCAGTGGCTCATGCATGTAATCCCAGCACTTTGGGAGGGCAAAGTGGGCGGATCACCGGAGGTCGGGAGTTCAAGACCAGTCTGGCCAACATAGCGAAACCCCATCTCTACTAAAAATACAAAAATTAGCCGGGCATGCTGGCAAGCATCTGTAATCCCAGCTACTCGAGGGAGACTGAGGCAGGACAATCACTTGAACCTGGGAGGTGGAGGTTGCAGTGAGCCAAGATCGTGCCATTGCACTCCAGCCTGGGTGACAGCGTGAGACTCTGTCTCAAAAAAAATAATAATAAAATTATTTGAGAGACCTTAATTCTCAACCTGCCTTTTAACCACTTTGATGGATTTACCTAACTTTGTTGCCAGGCTGGAGTATAGTGGCAAAATCAAAGCTCACTGCAGCCTTGAACTCCTGGACTCAAGTGATTCTCCCACCTCAGCCTCCCAAGTATCTGGAATTATAGGCTTGAGCCTCTGTGCCTGGCTTTAGTTGGTGAATTTTATTTTATTTGAGAGAAGATATTACTCTGTCACCTAGGCTGAAATGTACTAGTGAGATCACAGCTTAATTCAGCCTTAAATCCTGGGCTCAATGACCACCCCCCCCCCCCCCATCTCCGCCTCCTCAGTAGCTGGGACTACAGGTGTGCCACCAAGACTGGCTAGGCTTTTTTTGTTTGGTTGGTTTTAGGGTCTTACTGTGTTGCTCAGGCTGGTCTTGAACTCCTAGCCTCAAATAATCCTCTGCTGAGGTTATAGGCATGAGGCACTATGCCCAGCCCTTTAGTAAATTTTAGATAGTTGACATCGTTGTACTCGTGTATATCTTTATAATCATGATTTACTGATTTTGATAATTTTTGTTCTGTTCAAATAGGACAGATTTCACATACATATGACAGATTACAAAAGTTTTTATTACTTAACATGTTTAAATCTGAATAAAGTAATTGTGTGTTTAAAATGAACAGTTATCCCAGCTTGCCTGGCTGATGGCTGTTTTCACAGTTGGCCTATCTCAATTTTCACTTCTTGTGGTTAGGAAAGTGGCACTAGCCAAAAAAAAGGCCCTTGCCAAATAAATTTTTTTTTTTTTTGAGACAGAGTCTCGCTCTGTCGCCCAGGCTGGAGTGCAGTGGCGCGATCTCAGCTCACTGCAAGCTCTGCCTCCCAGGTTCATGTCATTCTCCTGCCTCAGCCTCCCGAGTAGCTGGGACTACAGGCACCCACCAGCACACCTGGCTAATTTTTTTGTATTTCTAGTAGAGACGGGATTTTACCATATTAGCCAGGATGGTCTCGATCTCCTGACCTCATGATCCGCCCGCTTCGGCCTCCCAAAGTGCTGGGATTACAGGCGTGAGCCACTGCGCCCAGCCCCAGAAAGGCAAATATTTAAAGGCATTTTAAATTAATTGTATTTGTTATAGCTCAAATTTGCCATCCTATTAAGCTTCATTAATTTATCCTTTTTTTTTTTTTTTTTTTGAGATGGAGTCTTGCTGTGTCATCCGGGCTGGAGCATAGTGGCGCAATCTCACTGCAGCCTCCACCTCGACCAATCATTTATCTTTTGAGACACCATATATTCATTTCAATCTTTGAAGCAAGTTTTATAACTACTTAACAATTTCACCTTATGCTGGGCACAGTGGCTTATGCTTGTAATCCCAGAACTTTGGGAGGCAGAGGCAGGTGGATCACCTGAGGTTGGGAGTTTGAGACCAGCTTGACCAACATGGAGAAACCCCATCTCTACTAAAAACACAAAATTATCCGGGCGTGGTGGCACATGCCTGTAATCCCAGCTACTTGGGAGGCTGAGGCAGGAGAATTGCTTAAACCTGGGTGGCAGAAGTTGCGGTGAGCCAAGATCTGCCATTGCACTCCAGCCTGGGCAATGAGAGCAAAGCTCCATCTGGAAAAAAAAAAAAACAAAAAAAAACCTCACCTTACAAGAGCCCCAGTTACCTCTTTAGAAATATAAGAAGATAAATTATGTTAAATATATTTACTTTAAATTACATGTTTCCATTTCTTAAGCTTTGGATTTGTAGCCAACTTTCTGGGAGACAGTCTGTTAATAGCAATGTAGGATATCAGTGTTTTTAAATTGGCTTATGAAAATAACACAGATTTTTAAATGAAAATTATTTAATTGGTATCCATTGATTTACTTAAAAGAGCCACATTTTTTAAGTGATAGCATTCTTTTTAGTTTAGCTGTGTTTTTTTTTGTTTTTTGTTTTTCTTTTGAGACGGAGTCTTGCTCTGTCGCCTAGGCTGGAGTGCATTGGCGCTATCTTGGCTCACTGCAACCTCCACCTCCTGGGTTTGAGCGATTCTTCTGTTCTCAGCCTCCCAAGTAGCTGGGATTACAGGCGTCCACCACCACGCTCAGCTAAGTTTTATATTTTTAGTAGAGAGGAGATTTCACCATGTTGGCCAGCCCGGTTTCGAACTCCTTACCTCAAGTGATCTGTCCCCCTTCACCTCCCAAAATGTTAGGATTACAGGCGTGAGCCACCTGCCATGCCTAGCCTCTTTTAGTTTTGCTATTAGAAGTGATAACATTCTTTTTAGTTTCACTATTAGCTTTCCTTGCATTCACATTTTACATTCTCATTAGCATTTCTATCCTTGGCATTTTTGAGTTTCTAATGCTTTTTTGCTTGAGTGTTTTATTCATTAAATGTTTTTGTTTAATTTATTATTTTCAAGCTTTCCTTTTGTTTCCATGATAAATCTTTGTGAGATTCCTGTATTTTAGCCATTTCCAAAAAGTGCCATTTTACTTATTTCACTGGAAGTATTTAAACATTCCAAACTACAGGCTCTAAGTAGCATCCTGATATTTTAGATCTGGAAAGGGCCCTTAAGATCACTGTATAGAAGTGTACAATTAGAGTATCCATTTGTTGTATATATATTTTGTTGTTAGTTTAGTGATGTCTGATTATCTCTGCCCGTTAGGACAGGGCTTAATTCAATCAGTATAATAATTATCAATGTGAAGGATAAAACCTTTTAGAACAACATGGGATCTAAATAAGTTTTTTTAAAATGTCACCGTAAAGGAAGTAGTGTTTTGTTTTTATTTTTCCCCCCAAACACAAGAGAAGTCAGGGAATCATTATGGAGGATTCTTAACATTTTTACCAGTTTGGGAGAAAACAGTGGTGAATATAGATAGTTTTTAATCTAGTTTTTGTTTTCTCTACTGTCAGCTTTCTACAGATCAAAAAATTGGGTTGCCGGGGGCAGGGCAGCAAATACCAGTTACTTTAAATGTTTTACCATGATCTTCTTTTTTTATAGGGAACTGACTCTCTTTTGGAGTAAACTGCAAAGAAGAATTGACCCTTCTTTAGATACTTTTTTGGAGCGTTGTCGTCAGTTTGGTGTCATAGCTAAAACGCAGCAGCATTTATTTTGCCTCATTAGAGTTATACAAACTGAAGTGAGTACTTTATGCCTTCTCTGCCAACTGTAGCTGGAGGAAAGAAATGAGTGAGAAGATAATGTCTCAGAAAATTCCCTTTAGATAAAGGAAGATAAGAAATAATGGGTTTTAATAAGATTAATGGAATTGACCACATCTGACTGCTTCTCCAGATTGACTTCCTATAATTAATCAGAAACAAATTGATGGCCAAACAAGTTAGGTGATAATTATTTCTAATTACTGTGAATGAAGTTGTATCTCCTGTCACATTAAGAACATTTTAAGAGGCCAGGCACAGTGACTCAAGCCTGTAATCCCAGCACTTTGGGAGGCCGAGGCGGGTGGATCACTTGAGCTCACGAGTTCGAGACCAGCCTGGCCAACCTGGTGAAACCCTGTCTCTACTAAAAATACAGAAATTAGCCGGGTATGGTGGCGGGCGCCTGTAATCCCAGCTACTTTGGAGGCTGAGGCAGGAGAATCGCTTGAACGGGGAAGGCGGAGGTTGTGGTGAGCTAAGATTGCACCACTGCACTCTAGCCTAGGCAACAGAGTGAGACTTGGTCTTTAAAAAAAAAAAAAAAGAACATTTCAAGGTAACTGTAGAACTTGCCCGTTTAAACAATTACTTCATAATTGGCCATTAGAACATTTTGTTTTGTTTAAATCTTTAATAAAGGTACTAATTTTCTATTGTTGAATAACATCAGAAAAATGAATATTAAAACAATGTCCATTTTTATTAGTTCAGTTTTATAAATCAGAAATCCAGCACAATGTGGCAGGATTCTCTTCTAAGACTATCACATTGGCTAAAATGTAGTTGGCTAGGCTAAGTTCTTATCAGAAGCTCTGTGGAAAATCCACTTCAAAGCTTGTTCTTATCATTGACAGATTTCAGTTCCTGTGATTGTAGGACTAAGGTTTCTGTTTTCTGGCTGGCTGCCAGTCAGGGTCTGTTCTCAGGTCCTAGAAAGCTACACTCAGTCTTTGCGTCTATTTTCAAGCATCAAGGGTGCAACAAGTTGGTGCTTGAAACCTGACATCCTCCATCTCTGACTTTAGTTTTCAGTTTTTGGTTAAGACAGGTCTCACTCTGTCACCCAGGCGTAGTGCAGTGGTGTGATCATAGCTCATTACAACCTCAAACTCCTTGACTCAAGCAGTTCTCCCTTCTCAGCCTCCAGAGTAGCTGAGACTACAGGCGTGTAGTTTTTTTCTTTTTTGGTGGGGAGCAGGGGTAGTAGATACAGGGTCTTGCTTTGTTGCCCAGACTGATTCTCAGCTCCTGGCCTCAAGCAATTCTCCCACCTCAGCCTTCCAAAGTGCTGGGATTATAGGTGTAAGCTGCCACACCTGTCCGCTTGAACCTGGGAGGCAGAAGTTGCAATGAGCCGAGATCACACCATTGCACTGCAGCCTGGGCGACAGAGTGAGACTCTGTCTCAAAAAAAAAAAAAAAAAAAAAAAAAAGAAGCAAAGGTTAAATGACTTGGCTACATCCTATGTGCGCTTTCATCAATATGCCAAGTCACTCTTGATCCCTCACCTTCCTAGTTTAAGACCCACCAATTTCTTCAAAATTCAGCTCCACATTCCATATCTTGATTCAAATTTATTCACTACTCCTTTTAGTAACTTTTTGGCCTATCTGTTCAGAATATATAATGGTATTTCTGGTTACTTTTCTTTTTTTTCTTTTTTTTTTTTTTTTGAGACGGAGTCTCGCTCTGTCGCCCAGGCTGGAGTGCTGTGGCCGGTTCTCAGCTCACTGCAAGCTCCGCCTCCCTGGTTCCCGCCATTCTCCTGCCTCAGCCTCCCGAGTAGCTGGGACTACAGGCGCCCGCCACCTCGCCCGGCTAGTTTTTTGTATTTTTTAGTGGAGACGGGGTTTCACCGTGTTAGCCAGGATGGTCTCGATCTCCTGACCTCGTGATCCGCCCGTCTCGGCCTCCCAAAGTGCTGGGATTACAGGCTTGAGCCACCGCGCCCGGCCTATGGTTACTTTTCTTTGAAAAGTGTTGTTAGTGATTTTTCAAATGTTACCATCCCAACCAGATTAGGCTGTTGAAGAAAGAATGACCATTCTTTGCTGTCCACCTCACAGTCTTCCAAAAGGAGTGAATAACTTGTGGAGAAACTGAATTATTTTAAAATTTGGCTGACTTTCCCCAAGTCCTCTCTGCTCTTACTTACAAATGATAAACTTATATCACATCATCCTAATAAGAGACCCATGGTCTAGTCCTGTGGAGCCACTGAAGCAACATGGCCTGTTGACTTGGACTACATTCCAAATGAGAGGGAGAAACTTCTATATTCTTTCGGCCACTACTGTTGTGGGATGTCTGCCATTCGTAACAGAACCAGATCCTAGCTGATACAGGCTAAGTAATGCCTCTCTTTCAAAAAAGCTAGTCTCAGCTCATCTGAAAGGTAGAGAGTTATCTCAATTGATTGTTCACAGTCAGTTACAGACTGAACTCTGTTCTACTCTTTCTCCCCTTTTCACTATTACACTTGACTAGTTTTAAAGGAAAAAAATGTTGGAGTCTCGGTTTGCAAGGGCTTCTACACTCACTAACTCCCTTTCCACCTACCAGTCCACATCTCTTCTACTCTTCAGGCCAAATTTTTATTTTATTTATTTTATTATTTTATTTTTTTGTTTTATTTGGAGACAAAGTCTCACTCTATTGCCCAGGCTGGCGTGCAGTGGCATGATCTTGGTTCACTGCAACTTCCGCTTCCCAGGCTCAAGGGATTCTCAATGCCTCAGCCTCCCAAGTAGCTGGGACTTTGGGCCTGCATCACCATGCGTGGCTAATTTTTTGTATTTTTATTAGAGATGGGGTTTTGCCATGTTGGCCATGGTGGTCTTAAAACTCCATGCCTCAAGTGATGTGCCTAGCTCGGTCTCCCAAAGTGCTGGGATTACAGGTGTGAACCACCATGCCTGGCCTAAATGCTTTTAAGTCCTTGCTCGTCTGCTTACTAGTTGATGACACTGGGCAACTTAACCTTCTGAGTGTTGGGGATTTTTTGTCTATAAAATGAGGATATGTGCAAAAAAGTTTATTTCAAATAAGTGCCTAGGTTGTAGTAGGGGTTCTGTAAATCAATGACGGTGATTTCTTTGTGTTCCCAGCATTTAGAATGAATGATGCCCAACACAGAATTAAATGCCTGGCAAATTGTTCACTGATTTAAACAGTGGAATTTACTCCGTTATTTTACATCGTATTCTGTTGAACAGTTACAATGTGCTAGCGTTACTATTTCATCTTTATAACCTTAGAAGGAGGAAAATCTGGTATTACCATTACTGTTATCATTTTACCAATAAGGAAACTGAAGTTTAGAGGTTGAGAACCTGTCACTTGTTGTGAAGCTGGGGTTCAAAGGCAGTCAAAGTCTGATTCTAAAGTCTCTGCTCTTAGCAGTGCGTTTTAAGCCACTCAGACATATCTTGCTTTTCTTTTTTCATGTCATTTTCGCATTTCAGCCTCTCAGATAGAGTTATCTTGTATGTACCAAGCTTTTATCACATATGACCAGGTCGTCCTAATTTTAAACTAGTTTCTGAGAACCTGCTGCTGTAGCAAGATTTTCTGATTTCTCTTTTCTCCCTGGAAAGCTGAGATTCAGTACACCTGTGATGGTGACTATAAATTACTAAATTCTTTCAGGAGGAAATGGAGAGGATCATTTATTTTATCTTTGAAGTTTTGAAAAATCCAAGTGTTCATGATACAGATAATTTTTTTTTTTTTTTTCGAGACTGAGTCTCGCTCTGTCGCCCAGGCTGGAGTGCAGTGGCCGGATCTCAGCTCACTGCAAGCTCTGCCTCCTGGGTTTACGCCATTCTCCTGCCTCAGCCTCCCGAGTAGCTGGGACTACAGGCGCCTGCCACCTCGCCTGGCTAGTTTTTTGTATTTTTTAGTAGAGACGGGGTTTCACCATGTTAGCTAGGATGGTCTCGATCTCCTGACCTCGTGATCTGCCCGTCTTGGCCTCCCAAAGTGCTGGGATTACAGGCTTAAGCGACCGTGCCCGGCTTTTTTTTTTTTTTTTTTTGAGACAGAGTTTCGCTCTTGTTGCCCAGGCTGGAGTGCAATGGCGTGATCTCGGTGCATTGCAACCTCCACCTCCCGGATTCTTTGAACCTCAGCCTCCCGAGTCGCTGGGATTACAGGCATGCACCACCACACCTGGCTAATTTTGTACTTTTTGCAGAGACGGGGTTTCTCCATGTTGGTCAGGCTGGTCTCGAACTCCTGAACTCAGGTGATAATGCCTGCCTCAGCCTCCCAAAGTGCTGGGGTTATAGGCATGAGCCACCGCGCCTGGCCACAGAGAATTTCTTAAATTGAATTTAATCTTAGATTCACATCTATACCTGTGTTTCCTGTTGCTGCCTTTTTAAACACTGCCCCTCTACTCAACATCATTCTATTTTGAATCCTCCAGTGACCTTACTTATCCTGAATTTCTTTGGATTCACATGCATTTATTGCTTATGCATTCGGGGTACAGATAAATTCCTTGAAAGTAAGGAACTGCTTTAATACACAGTGCCTAGTAAATGTACATTGTTCATAGTTGTAGCATCTAATTCAGTTCTTTGCATGTTGAGACAAGAAATATCTAAATGTCTTTCATGAAGAAAGATTTAAGATAAAATTTAGGAACTCTAATAAAAGTTTTTACAACCTAAAATTCCATATCAGTGAACGTTATATACTCTTTCTGTATGCAAAAAAAAAAAAATTTTTTATCCTGTTTTACTTATAGGCACAAGATGCTGGTCTTGGGGTGTCAATTTTACTGTGTGTCAGAGCTCTTCAACTCAGATCAAGTGAAGATGAGGAAATGAAGGCATCAGTTTGTAAAACAATTGCCTGTCTTTTACCAGAAGATTTAGAAGTTAGACGAGCCTGTCAGCTTACAGAATTCTTAATTGAACCCAGTTTGGATGGATTTAATATGTTAGAAGAACTGTATTTGCAACCAGATCAAAAATTTGATGAAGAAAATGCACCGGTTCCAAATTCTCTTCGATGTGAGCTCTTACTAGCTTTAAAAGCCCACTGGCCTTTTGATCCTGAGTTTTGGGACTGGAAAACTTTAAAACGACACTGCCACCAACTTTTAGGACAAGAAGCCTCAGATTCTGATGATGACTTAAGTGGCTATGAAATGTCCATTAATGACACAGATGTTTTAGAGTCATTTCTCAGTGACTATGATGAGGGTAAAGAAGATAAACAATATAGAAGAAGAGATTTGACAGATCAGCATAAGGAGAAAAGAGACAAAAAACCCATTGGCTCTTCTGAAAGATATCAGAGGTGGCTTCAGTATAAGTTTTTCTGTTTGTTATGTAAGCGGGAATGTATAGAGGCTAGAATTCTTCATCATTCTAAGATGCATATGGAAGATGGAATTTACACCTGTCCAGTTTGTATTAAAAAATTTAAGAGAAAAGAAATGTTTGTTCCTCATGTGATGGAGCATGTTAAAATGCCACCAAGCAGAAGGGACCGCTCTAAAAAGAAATTACTGTTGAAAGGCTCTCAAAAGGGTATTTGTCCCAAGAGCCCCTCTGCAATCCCAGAGCAAAACCATTCATTGAATGAACAAGCCAAAGGAGAGTCTCATGAATATGTCACATTCAGCAAATTAGAAGATTGCCACCTGCAAGACAGAGATTTGTATCCATGTCCTGGTACAGACTGTTCCCGTGTGTTTAAGCAATTTAAATACTTAAGTGTGCATCTTAAAGCTGAACACCAAAATAATGATGAAAATGCCAAGCACTACTTGGATATGAAAAATAGAAGAGAGAAGTGTACTTACTGTCGACGACATTTTATGTCTGCTTTTCACCTTCGGGAGCATGAACAAGTACATTGTGGGCCTCAGCCTTATATGTGTGTATCTATAGATTGCTATGCTAGGTTTGGATCAGTAAATGAACTACTTAACCATAAACAAAAGCATGATGATCTGCGTTATAAGTGTGAATTAAATGGCTGTAATATTGTTTTCAGTGACTTGGGACAGCTTTACCACCATGAAGCACAACACTTTAGGGATGCATCTTACACATGCAACTTTCTTGGCTGTAAAAAGTTCTATTACTCCAAAATTGAATACCAGAATCACCTCTCAATGCATAATGTTGAAAATTCAAATGGTGAAATAAAGAAATCAGTGAAACTTGAGGAGTCTGCAACAGGTGAAAAGCAAGATTGTGTTAATCAGCCCCATCTACTTAACCAAACTGATAAATCACATTTACCTGAAGATCTTTTCTGTGCAGAATCAGCTAATTCTCAAATAGATACAGAAACTGCAGAAAACCTGAAAGAAAACAGTGACAGTAATTCTAGTGATCAGTTAAGTCATAGCTCTTCAGCTTCAATGAATGAAGAGTTAATTGACACACTAGATCACTCTGAAACCATGCAGGATATATTGTTATCTAATGAGAAAGTCTTTGGGCCCTCCAGTTTAAAAGAAAAATGTTCCAGTATGGCAGTTTGTTTTGACGGGACTAAGTTTACCTGTGGTTTTGATGGCTGTGGTTCCACATACAAAAATGCAAGAGGAATGCAGAAACATTTACGGAAGGTTCATCCATACCATTTCAAGCCCAAAAAGATAAAGACGAAAGATCTGTTTCCCTCTTTGGGTAATGAACATAATCAGACAACAGAAAAGTTGGATGCAGAACCTAAACCCAGCTCAGATACAAACAGTGACTCCCCAGATGAAGGTCTAGATCACAATATTCACATTAAATGTAAACGAGAACATCAAGGTTATTCCTCAGAATCCTCCATTTGTGCTTCTAAAAGGCCCTGTACAGAGGATACCATGTTGGAACTTCTGTTACGCTTGAAACATTTAAGCTTGAAAAACTCAATAACACATGGCTCTTTCTCAGGGTCATTGCAGGCGTACCCATCCAGTGGTGCTAAGTCTCTTCAATCAGTTTCATCTATCTCAGACCTTAATTTTCAGACTCAAGATGAAAATATGCCAAGTCAGTACCTTGCACAGTTGGCGGCTAAGCCGTTTTTCTGTGAGCTTCAAGGATGCAAATACGAATTTGTGACCAGAGAGGCTCTGTTAATGCATTATCTTAAAAAGCATAATTATTCAAAAGAAAAAGTCCTTCAGTTAACCATGTTCCAACATCGGTATTCCCCATTTCAATGTCATATTTGCCAAAGGTCATTTACAAGAAAAACACACCTTAGGATTCATTATAAAAATAAACATCAAATTGGCAGTGACAGAGCAACTCACAAACTATTAGATAATGAAAAGTGTGATCATGAAGGCCCATGTTCAGTAGATAGGTTGAAAGGTGATTGTTCTGCAGAACTTGGAGGTGATCCCAACAGTAACTCTGAGAAACCACACTGTCATCCTAAGAAAGATGAATGCAGTTCTGAAACAGATTTGGAATCATCTTGTGAAGAAACAGAAAGTAAAACATCTGACATTTCATCACCAATAGGCAGCCATAGAGAAGAACAAGAAGGAAGAGAGGGCAGAGGTAGCAGGCGAACTGTTGCTAAAGGAAATCTGTGTTATATTTTGAATAAATACCACAAACCATTCCATTGTATCCATAAAACTTGCAACTCCTCATTCACCAATCTAAAAGGCTTAATTCGCCATTACAGAACTGTACATCAGTACAACAAAGAACAGTTATGTTTAGAGAAAGACAAAGCAAGAACCAAAAGGGAACTTGTCAAATGTAAAAAGATATTTGCTTGCAAATATAAGGAATGTAATAAACGCTTCCTGTGTTCCAAAGCTCTTGCTAAGCACTGTAGTGACTCTCATAACCTAGACCATACTGAAGAGCCTAAAGTACTTTCTGAAGCTGAATCTGCAGCAAGATTTTCTTGTAACCAGCCTCAGTGCCCTGCTGTTTTTTATACATTCAACAAGTTGAAGCACCACTTGATGGAACAGCATAATATTGAAGGGGAAATACATTCAGATTATGAAATTCATTGTGATCTTAATGGCTGTGGCCAGATTTTCACCCATCGCAGTAATTACTCACAACATGTATATTACCGACATAAAGATTATTATGATGATTTGTTTAGAAGTCAGAAAGTAGCAAATGAGAGACTACTAAGGAGTGAAAAGGTATGTCAAACAGCTGACACTCAGGGGCATGAATATCAGACCACCAGGAGATCATTTAATGCTAAAACTAAAAAATGTGGCTTAATCAAAGAAAAGAAAGCCCCAATAAGTTTTAAAACCAGAGCTGAGGCCCTCCATATGTGTGTGGAGCACTCTGAGCACACACAGTACCCCTGCATGGTTCAAGGATGCTTATCTGTGGTGAAGTTGGAGAGCAGCATTGTGAGGCATTACAAACGCACTCATCAGATGAGTAGTGCCTATTTAGAACAACAGATGGAGAACCTTGTTGTTTGCGTTAAGTACGGTACCAAAATTAAGGAGGAACCCCCTTCTGAAGCAGATGCCTGTATAAAGAAAGAAGAAAATAGAAGCTGTGAATCAGAGCACACAGAACACAGCCATTCCCCGGGTGACAGTAGTGCACCCATCCAGAACACTGATTCCTGTCATTCAAGTGAAAGGGATGGAGGTCAGAAAGGGTGCATAGAAAGCAGCTCAGTATTTGATGCAGATACTCTGCTTTACAGGGGAACTTTGAAATGTAACCATAGTTCAGAAACCACTTCCCTGGAACAGTGTAATATAGTTCAGCCTCCTCCTCCTTGTAAAATAGAAAATTCCATACCTAATCCCAATGGGACTGAAAGTGGGACTTATTTCACAAGTTTCCAGCTGCCTTTACCAAGGATCAAAGAATCAGAAACTAGGCAGCATGGTTCAGGGCAAGAAAACACTGTAAAAAATCCAACCCACGTCCCAAAAGAGAATTTTAGAAAACCTTCACAGCCCCGGTCATTTGATTTGAAGACCTACAAACCTATGGGATTTGAATCTTCGTTTCTGAAATTTATTCAGGAAAGTGAAGAGAAAGAAGATGATTTTGATGATTGGGAGCCTTCAGAGCACTTAACATTAAGTAATTCTTCACAGCCCAGTAATGATTTAACAGGGAACGTTGTGGCAAATAATATGGTGAATGACAATGAACCTGAAGTTGACATACCTCATTCTTCCAGTGACTCTACAATTCATGAGAACCTGACTGCAATCCCACCTTTAATAGTAGCTGAAACAACAACAGTTCCTTCCTTGGAAAACCTGAGGGTCGTATTGGACAAAGCATTAACAGACTGTGGAGAACTTGCCTTAAAACAGCTTCATTATCTTCGCCCAGTGGTGGTTCTTGAAAGATCTAAGTTTTCCACACCAATTTTAGACTTATTTCCAACAAAAAAGACAGATGAGCTTTGTGTAGGAAGTTCATAAGTAGCAGTTTTGTTTTTGTAACAGACTGGCTCCAACACTGCAACATGGGGACATTTGCCAACTCGAACAAAGGCTGAGAAGCAGCCACACCGTTGTTTAGGTAGAATAGGCTGTGTATTTACATGAATGTATAATATCTATGTCAGCAGTATTGGCTGAATCCATTAGCTCTCTGGTTGGTTTAATGATTGGGTTTTTTTGTTTATTAAAAAAAAAAAAGGAACTGTACTCTTGTTTGGTGCTAATTAATACATCAAAATATACTGGGGCTTCCTTTTTCAAATTAAGTGTGCATGATTGTATATGGAACAAATACTAAGGTCCCAGGGTGGGAGGGTTAGGGAAAGGGATATGGAGTTCTTACTTGACTTGAATGTGCACCTGAGGGTGCTTTGTGTAATATATTGTACACTACAGCATCTTATATTTTTTGAGTTGAGTTTCAATAAATTGCAATTTTTCACCCATTTGTTGTTTACTCATAATGAGTTTTCATGCCACATGTAAACTGAAATTGCACTTATATTTTCTGAAATATGCCACTCACATTTTACCCCAGTAATTTTTTTATTATTAACTAAATCATTCAGAACAAGGGTTTTTTGTTTGTTTGTTTGTTTTTTTAAGACGGAGTTTCACTCTTGTTGCTCAAGCTGGAGTGCAATAGTGCAGTCTCGGCTCGCTGCAACCTCCCCCTCCTGGCTTCAAGTTATTCTCCTACCTCGGTCTCCCAAAGTGCTGGGATTACAGGCGTGAGCGACCACGCCCATCCCAGAACAAGGTTCTTTTTATCTTAAAATTTTTGTTTTTGTGGAAGAAGGTTCTGAGATTGAGTAATTAGCTGTGGGAGTGAAGATATCTCCCAGAGGATGTCCAGATGTTGGCCGAGTAGAAAGGAGAGGATATGCCAACCAGAACATGAAGGACATAGCAAATTCAGAGGGCATGTTTCTAGGAAACTACAAATAATTTGATATGCTGGCAATAAAAAGGGAACAAGAGAATGACATCATTGAAGAGACAGCAGGAACTAAATCATGAAACACTAAGGAGTTTGGACTTGAGTCTATAGGCATATATCACTGGAAGTGTGGAGTGCTCACTTGATTTGAGGAGCTGAAATTGGAAACAGTAGACCTGAAGTAATTGAGGCAAGCTTGGTGAGTGTATGTACTGATGCAGCAGAGGGCAGAATAGATGAAATTGAGATATTTAAGGAGACAGGATTTTGGGGGTTTGGAGAGTCAAGGAAAAGATTTGGTACTGATGCAACCATTTGAGGTAGGTATACAAAGGAGGATTGATTATTTGGGAAGATAATGGAAACCAAGGTGAGTTTGGCTTTTAGATGTGTTGAGTTTTATTAGACTGTAGGATGTCCTTTTAATACAGTTTTATTTCCTGTTCCTTGTGAAGTTTTCAACCACTTTCATTAGCTAGATATGAAGTGACTCAGACAACTAACATCTCTTTATCATCCTTGTGGTTAGAATTTTTTTTTTTTCCCGCAATTGAATCTTGCTCTGTCGCCCAGGCTGGGGTATAGTGGCGCGATCTCGGCTCACTGCGACCTCCGCCCCTCCAGGTTTAAGCAATTCTCTGCCTCAGCCTCCGGAGTAGCTGGGATTACAGGTGTGTGCCACCACGCCTGGCTAATTTTTTGTGTTTTTAGTAGAAACAGGGTTTCACCATCTTGGCCAGGCTGGTCTTGAACTCCTGACCTCGTGATCCACCCGCCTCGGCCTCCCAAAGTGCTGGGATTACAGGCTTGAGCCACCGTGCCTGGCCTATTGTGGTTAGATTTTCAAGACCTTTTCTCTGACCCTTAAACCTTATTTTCTTGTTTTGTCAGCTCTTCAGGAATTTCATTCCGTCACCTCACCCAGAGTCTAAAGCACCCCCATAACCAAGTCATTTCTTGTCTCAGCTCCCAATAGGTAACAGAGGATTCTGAGAAATCGGAATGATCTGAGTAAGACTGTTGAAAGAAGTGGCAGAAACGAGGATCTTAGAGACTGAGACCACTATTGTTTCTTTGGAATCCAGCTAATTCTTCAGCAACTTGAATTTCCTCACTTACGAAGGGAGGGTGTATAGGTGAAAGGTCCCTTTTTGTGATTTGAGCATGAGAAGCACCTGTAGGCCTAGTAAAAATTCCTCATACTAGAGAGATGGTTAGCCCAGAATAAGAAAAAGCTACTAATTTATCTAAGACTGAACTATATCCATTCAACCACAAAAAACTTGTAGCCCCTGGAAGGACCAAGTGAGGCCATTCACAGTGAAACTAAACCCAGATTTTAAGAGCCCAATTAGGCTGGGCGTGGTGGCTCACACCTGTAATCCCAGCACTTTGGGAGGCTGAGGTGGGCAGATCATGAGGTCAGGAGGTCAAGAGCAAACTGGCTAACACGGTGAAACCCCGTCTCTACTGAAAATACAAAAAATTAGCTGGGCATGATGGCACACGCCTGTAGTCTCAGCTACTCGGGAGGCTGAGGCAGGAGAATCGCTTGAACCCGTGAGGTGGATGTTGCAGTGAGCCGAGATCACACCGCTGCACTTTAGCCTGGGTGATGGAGCGAGACTGTCTCAAAAATGAAATAGTTCAAGTACAACCCTAAGTAATTGATCCTAAGATCACTGTCTATCCCAGTTAGAGCAGCTTGCATCATTTGATCTGTATTAAATACTTTTGGCTGGGTGTGGTGGCTCGCACCTGTAATCCTGGCACTTTGGGAGGCCGAGGCGGGTAGGTCACCTGAGGTCAGGAGTTTGAGACCAGCCTGACCAACATGGAGAAACCCCATCTCTACTAAAAATACAAAAATTAGCTAGGTATGGTGGCAGATGCCTGTAATCCCAGCTACTCAGGAGGCTGAGGCAGGAGAATCGCTTGGACCCTGGAGGTGGAAGTTGCAGTGAGCTGAGATCCTGCCATTGCACTCCAGTCTGGGCAACTGAGCGAGACTCCGTTTCAAAAAAAAAGAAAAAAAAAAGACTTTTATGTTTAAACAGCATGAATGACTATATGATAATACAGGGCAAAGGGTTGTTTTTTTTTTTTTTAGCTTGTAGTAATCATTTTAACTTGATATCTCTGGAATTTGTCCCAACCCTGGCACAGACCTGAAAGCACTGACTTTGTTTTCAAAGCTTTTTCAATTCAAGAGTGCCTCCAAATGGTGAGTAGGAATGAAGACTTCCAGAAGCTTCTATTCTTGCCTTTACCCAGAATTCTCTTGCTTCAGTGTTTTTCCCATTTTCATGAGCCCATATATGAAAAAGGGTAAGGAACTGTGGAGAAGGAAGTTTTTTATTAGCCTTCCTCGGGGTATTCCATGCTCAATCTATCCTTTCTCAGTCCCAGATGGCCTACTGAGCTGAACTGCCTAAGACATAGTCATTCACCAAATATTTAAGTACACATATTTAAAAAGATATAATTCCAGGTGCAATGGGAGACGAGGAAAAAAAGTAAAGTTGTCAGGGCCATCAAGAAGCTTTCACAAGGTGAAGGGAGGGCTGGAGTTTCTCAAAACATTGTTACTTAAAGTGTGGTAGTGGGCCAGCAGTATGGGCGTCACCTAGGATATTATTATTAATAAAAATGCATAATTTCAGGCCCTACTCTAGACCTACTGGACCAAAATGTGTGTGTTAGTAAGATCTCCAGGTGATTCTTAGGCACAGAAAAGTTCTAGAAGCACTGGCCTGGAAGTGGGAAGTACTGTGAGAATTCAGGGTAGTTATGCTTTTTCGCATTTTACATAAAATTATCTTGTTGAATTTTCATAATCCAATGAAGTAGGTGCTGTTATTATCCTTATTTGACAAAGTACTTGAGATGAAGCATCTTGCCTGGCTGGCACAAATAGAGATGGAGCCCAGTTTCCAATCTCTTCTGACTGGAAGAATGTCAGAGAGGGACATTTAGTATAAAGGAATAACAGATGGAAAGTTGCAGGTGGTATTTGAAGTACCAAAAATACCACAGTTCTGTAATGTGAGTGTTTGTGAAGGTGAATAGTGGGAAATACAATTTGAAGTGTAGGTGAAAGCCAGGTTGTTCAACTCAAACTCCACAGTCATGGTGTTGACATTTCTTCATTTTTGAATATAGAGATGGGAAACTGGTGCATATTTTTTTCTGTGAATAACATGAAAACTACAAAAAAAGGCAAGTTTTCTGAAAGAAACTTTTACTTACTCGTTTTTGCTATTTTTTGAGACAAGATCTCATTAGGTTGCCCAGGCTGATCTTGAACTCCTGAGCCCAAGCAGTTCTCCCACCCCAGCCTCCCAAAGTGCTGGAATTGCAGGCATGAACCACTGCACCTGGCCAGAAACTTCTAAAACTCAGAAACGTTGCTCCTCCTCACCTCCTACCCCAAGGTAAACTGTGATATCTCCTGGCTTTATACTACTGATTTTATACCCTATTATGTAGAAGTGTGTCTAGAAAGACTGGCCTATCCCTCTCTGACCTTGGTCTACTCCTGCAGGAGTGGTTTCTGTGACAGACTGCATTTGGAGGTTTGATTCACTCTGGGGAAGGTAACCAGGATAGGCAAGAGATTTAAAAATCTGTCAACATGTATTTGGCAGGTATAGCCTGAAAAAAAAAAGACCAGAGGCATAGGAAAGTTATCTAAATGGTTAAGAAGCCAAATATTTAGAAAGCATATACCATCTGCTAGCCCCTGGGTGGTAAGTGTTGAACAAGACTCTTCCCTGCATCATAGAGATTTAAGAAGCCAGTAGGGGACTGGGTGTGGTGACTCATGTCTGTAATCCCAGCACTTTGGGAGGTAGAGGCAGGTGGATATTTGAAGTCAGGAGTTTGAGACCAGCCTGGTCAACATGGTGAAACCCTGTCTCTAGTAAAAATACAAAAATTAGCTGGGCCATGGTGGCGTGCGCGCCTGTAATCCCAGCTACTAGGGAGGCTGAGGCACGAGAACTGCTTGAATCCAGGAAGCAGAGGTTGCAGTGAGCCGAGATCAGGCCACTGCACTCCAGCGCGGGCAACAGAGTGAGACCCTGTACCCCCCCAACCTCCCCCCCTCAAAAAAAAATCCAATAGGGAAGACAGACATTAAAACAGTACAAATAAGTAAAAGTGCTTTTATTTTTAAACAGGGAATGGAGGGACTTGTGAGAAGTGGACCAAAAAAGGACAGCAAAAGCTTCATTGAGGATAATGTTTAAACTGAAACCTAAAGAATCAATAGAAGTTAGCCAGGCAATAACCTGTAGTGTCAGCTACTCGGGAGGCTGAGGTGGGAGGATCACTTGAGCCCAGGAGTTAGAGGCTGTAGTGTGCAATAATCGCACCTGTTAATAGGCACTGAACTCCAACCTGGGGGAGGAGGGGGAAGCCAGGCAAAGAATGCGAGTAATCGTAATCCAATTATGTGCCAAGGCTTTGTGGTTCAACAGCTTGGTGTGTTGGTGACATTGATAAGACTACTATAGCTGGAGTTGAAAGAACAAATGGCAGAGGAAGAGAAGACTTGGTACGCAAGCAGGGACCAGGCATTTTAGTGCCCTGTTAGCCATGTTACAGATTTTGGATTTTGTTTGAAAGGCAATGAAAAACCTGTAAGAATTTGTCAAAGGCTGACTAGGTGCTATTTCTCATGCCTCTAATCCCAGCATTTTAGGAGGGTCACCTGAGATCAGGAATTCGAGACCAGCCTGGCCAACATGGTGAAACCCCGTTTCTACTAAAAATGCAGAGATTAGCCAGGTGTGGCGCGTGCCTAGTCCCAGCCACTCAAGAGGCTGAGGCAGGAGAATAGTTTGAACCCAGGAGGCAGAGGTTGCAGTGAGCCAAGATCGCACCACTGCACTCCAGCTTGGGCAACAGAGCGAGACTCTGTCTCAAAAAAAAAAGAATTTATCAAAGGCTTGAAAGTAGGCATTGCATAAGTCAGTAAGTCCTAATGGGGCATGATGCGACTACTGAGTAGAAGTGACTGACAGATGAGTGGGTGGATGCCACTATTAAAGGTGAACTGAAGGCCAGGCATGGTGGTTCATGCCTGTAATCCCAGCACTGTGGGAGGCCGAGGCAGGTGGATCATGCGGTCAGGAGTTCGAGACCAGCCTAATCAACATGGTGAAACCCCATCTCTACTAAAAATTAAAAAATTAGCCGGGCGTGGTGGCACGTGCCTGTAATCCCAGCTACTAAGGAGGCTGAGCCAGGAGAATCACTTGAACCCAGGAGGCAGAGGTTGCAGTGAGCTGAGATTGTGCCACTGCACTCCAGCCCAGGCGACAAGGTGAGACTCCAAGACTCCATCTCAGAAAAAAAAAAAAAAAAAAAAAGCCCTGTTTATATCCTATTTCCTTGCTGGGTGTGGTGGCTCATGCCTGTAATCCCTGCACTTTGGGAGGCTGAGGTGGGTGGATCACTTGAGGTCAGGAGTTCCAGACCAGCCTGGCCAACATGGTGAAACCCCATCTCTACTAAAAATACAACAAATTAGCCAGGCATGGTGGCGCAAGCCTGTAATCCCAGCTACTCAGGAGGCTGAGGCAGGAGAATCGCTTGAACCTAGGAGGCACAGGTTGCAGTGAGCTGAGATCATGCCACTGCACTCCAGCTCAAAAAAATAAAAATAAAAAATCCTATCTCCTCACATTTCCTTCCATTCAACCTCAATACACCTCAGCTTTTTTTTTATTATGTGAAAATAGCTGCAACAGCTGCTGTCCATGTGATGAATTGTTGGAAATGTAGATCTGCACTAAATAAGAGAGAAGCCACTAGCCACATGTGGCTATTTGACTTTTTTTTTTAGATGGAGTCTCATTCTGTCACCAAGGCTGGAGCACAACATCAGCTCACTGCAACCTCTGCCTCCCAGGTTTAAGTGATTCTCCTGCTTCAGCCTCCCAAGTAGCTGGGACTACAGGTGTGCACTATCGTGTCAGGCTAATTTTTGTATGTTTAGTAGAGACAGGATTTCACCTTGTTGGCAGGTTGGTCTTGAACTCCTGGGCTCAAGTGATCCACCTGCCTCGGCCTCCCAAAGTGCTGGGATTACAAGCGTGAGCCACCGTGCCTGGCCAAATTTAGTTAAAATGCAAAATTCCATCTCTGCTACACTATTCACATTTCAGCATTAACTAGTGGTTACCATATTGGACATGGCAGATAAAGAACATTTTCATTATTGCAGAAAGTTGTACTGGACAGCACTTTGCTAGAGCCAGAACTAGCCAAAGATCAGATAAAGTAATATGAATGAACTGAAAACCCAGGCCGGTGCATGGGTGGTTTTGAGTAAGATTCACTGGTTGGGTGAGTGGGAAGCAAGCTGACCTTTGGAACAGTGACATCACAAAGCACAGCTCACAATGGCTCCAGAACATGTAGGCCACCAGGCCACTACCCCTAACTGATATCTAGATTCCTGAAGCTTCTGCACATGTAGTTCCTGGAGCTGCTACTTATTAAAATGTCAACATCTTCGTTTTCTAACTGGGACAACCTCTCAGATTCTCTGAGCACAGTATGGAATTGGATACAAGCAAGTTTTTTGGGAGAGACTAGTGCACCTCAGCAAACAAATTTGGGACTATTAGATAATCTTGCTCCGGCTGTGCAAATCATCTTGAGGATTTCTTTCTTGATTTTGTTGGCAATAGGAATATATGCCTTATGGAAACGAAGTATTCGGTCAATTCAGGTTATACTCTTTTGTTACAAACATTTCTATAGTTATAAATTGAAATTTGATTAGTTCTCTCCCATATTGCTGCCACCAGTTTAAAGATCACGCAGATGTGCCAAGGCAAACCTTTGTCTCTTAAGTTGGCAGAAAGTAGGTTATCCTTGAAAACCTCCATCAGTTAGGCTTTGGGCATAAAAATGCTCTTTCTCACAATGGTCTTTGGCTTGTCTTCTGTAATAAAATAGACCAAATATGTTTGTAACCTGAAAAGACGGCCTTACCCTCAAAATGTTTTGATCATTTATTCATCTTTGAGTGCTACTATGTTTATAAAATAGGCAACAAAGTATAGCTAGGATCATGAGTATGGCCTTTCTTCCTAGGCCATCGTTCTGTAACTGATAAGAAGGCATATGTATGAAGTCATCACAATGTGCTCATTATTGTGTTTTAACAAAATAAGGCTCCATAAGTATATAGGAGCTCTTTGGGGAGTAAGAATTTAACTGACTGGGATTGTGAAAGACAGGATTTTACATCTGTGTAGTCATCAATAATAATAGTTGACATACAATATAGTCGAATGCTTTGAGAATCTCAAAAATTCCATGAAATGGACAGAGGTTATTTTCACATGACAAGTGAAGAAACTGAGGTGCACTGAGGTTTAGTGGAAACTTAAGGTGACAGGCTTTTAAAACGGCTTTCTTAGAGTGGCAAGTTTACTTGATAAATGCAGAGAGAAGTTGTTACTGGATCATTTTTTAGCATTTACTTATTTTCATATGTCACTATTGTTTAGTAATTATGGTCACAGGTCCTTTCTATTTTAAACCATCACAATCCTGCATAGTAGTCAGGGCAGATATTATTTTCTCCATTTTGTAGATGAGATAACTTGATTATCACCCACCCAGGTTCACATAGTTTGTAAGAGCTGGCAAAATTGGAGTTTGAACTGAATTTTTAGGATTTGAAATTCAGTTCTTGTCCAAAATCTCATTTAATGTAAACCAACTGGCCTAAATCTTGAACAGGAATGTGTGTGTGTATGTGTGTTTGCATGTGCGCACGCATATATATGTGTATTGTGAGGATTACAGGAGATATTATATATATAAATCCTTTTTTTTTTTTTTTTGAGACGGAGTCTCGCTCTGTTGCCCAGGCTGGAGTGCAGTGGCCGGATCTCAGCTCACTGCAAGCTCCCCCTCCCAGGTTTACGCCATTCTCCTGCCTCAGCCTCCCGAGTAGCTGAGACTACAGGCGCCCGCCACCTCGCCCGGCTAGTTTTTTGTATTTTTTAGTAGAGACGGGGTTTCACCGTGTTAACCAGAATGGTCTCGATCTCCCGACCTTGTGATCCGCCTGTCTCGGCCTCCCAAAGTGCTGGGATTACAGGCTTGAGCCACCGCGCCCGGCCATATATATAAATCTTAGCACATATATTCAATAAGTGGTGCTACGGTGAAACCCCATCTCTACTTAAAATACAAAAATTAGCCGGGCCTGGTGGTGGCACATGCCTGTAGTCCCAGCTACTCAGGAGGCTGAGGCAAGAGAACTGCTTGAACCCGGGAGGTGGAGGTTGCAGTGAGCCAAGATCGCACCACTGTACTCCAGCCTAGGCGACAGAGACTCTGTCTCAAAAAAAAAAAAAAGGGGGGGTGGTGCTAGTTGTAGACGGGGTTTCACCGTGTTAACTAGAATGGTCTTTCGATCTCCTAGACTTAGATCCTACCCACAGCCTCCTCCCAAAGTGCTGGGATTACAGGCTTGGAGCCACGCCGCCGCCATATATAAAAACTGAAATATAATCAATAAAGTGAAAGTGAAACTTACTTGTAAGCTTTACAAAAAACAGAAAACAAGCTGGAATGGGTAGTGGCAGCTGTGAAAATTCAGCTTATTCATGATGCTTGAGGGAACACAACTGGAGCAGGGAGGCTGGGTGGAAAGTGATCTGATCAGTCTGTAAGGCCTCCTGAAGTTTGAAGTGGTAATGGAATTGCTTCAACAAAAGTGAAGTTAAAGGCAAAGCCGTGAGTACTCTTTTCTTGTCCTAAAAAAGAACTGTAATCCTAGCATAAGGTAAAAAAAAAAAAAAAGGGGGGGGGGTGCTAGTTGTTATAAGGAACAAGATGATTTTTTTTCTTATCCTAGCAAGAATCTGTCCTATACATATGCATTTATTTTTCATTTATTTATTTTGAGATGAAGTCTCGCTCTTGTTGCCCAGTCTGGAGTGCAATGGCGCGATCTCAGATCACTGCAACCTTTGCCTCCCAGGTTCAAGCAGTTTTCCTGCCTCAGCCTCCTGAGTAGCTGGGATTACAGGCGCGTACCACTATGCCCAGCTAATTTTTTGTATTTTAAGTAGAGACCGGGTTTCACCATGTTGGCCAGGCTGGTCTTGAACTCCTGACCTCAGGTGATCCACCCACCTCGCCCTCGTAAAGTGCTAGGATTACAGGCATGAGTCACCGTGCCTAGCATATGCTTTTATTTTTTTTAATTTCTTTTTTTTTTTTTTTTTTTTGAGACGGAGTCTCGCTCTGTAGCCCAGGCTGGAGTGCAGTGGCCGGATCTCAGCTCACTGCAAGCTCCGCCTCCCGGGCTTACGCCATTCTCCAGCCTCAGCCTCCCAAGTAGCTGGGACTACAGGCGCCCGCCACCTTGCCCGGCTAGGTTTTTTTTGTATTTTTTAGTAGAGACGGGGTTTCACCGTATTATCCAGGATGGTCTCGATCTCTTGACCTCGTGATCCGCCCGTCTCAGCCTCCCAAAGTGCTGGGATTACAGGCTTGAGCCACCGAGCCCGGCCTTTAATTTCTTTTTTATGTTTTAGAGACAGTGTCTTGCTCTGTCACCCAGGCTAGAGTGCAGTGGTGTCATCATAGCTCACTGCAGCCTCAAACTCCTGGTCTCAGGTGATCCTCCTGCCTCAGCCTCCTGAGCAACTGGAACCATAGGCCTGCACCACCAGGCTTGGCTAATTTTTAAAACTTTTTTGTAAAGACAGGGTCTCGCTACATTCGCTATGTTGCTCAGGCTGGTCTTTAACTCCTGGCCTCAAGCAATCCTCCCATCTCAGCCTCTTCAAAGTGCTGGATGCAGTGGTTCACACCTAAAATTTATTTTATATAAATAAAATATATATATATATATAATTTGTTTAAGAGACAGGGTCTGGCTATGTTGCCCAGGCTGGAGTGCAGTAGCCATTCACAGGTGCCATCATAGCACACTACCCCTGGGTTCAAGTGATCCTCTCACCTCACCCTTCCTAGTAGCTGGGACTACATGTGTGTGCCATTGTACCCAGATCTCTCCTAGTATGTGTGTGTGTGTGTATATATATATATATATTTTTTTTTTTTTTTTTTTTTTTTTTTGGAGGCCCAGGTCTTGCTCCTGTCACCCAGGCTGTTTTGAGACGGAGTCTTGCTCTGTCACCCAGGCTGGAGTGCAGTGGCGCAATCTGGGCTCACTGCAAGCTCCGCCTCCCGGGTTCACGTCATTCTCCTGCCTCAGCCTCCCGAGTAGCTGGGACTACAGGCACCCGCCACCTCGCCCGGCTAGTTTTTTGTATTCTTTTTAGTAGAGACAGGGTTTCACTGTGTTAGCCAGGATGGTCTCGATCTCCTGATCTCGTGATCCGCCCGTCTCAGCCTCCCAAAGTGCTGGGATTACAGGCTTGAGCCACCGTGCCCGGCCATCTCCTAGTATATTTTAAGAACCTTTTCTATGACCAAGAAATCCAGTTTTTCAGACTACTATGTCCTAAAGTGTACTTGGAGGTGTAAATTTCTGGATTGTTGTCCTGGCTCTACCACTTCCAATATATAACCTTGGTCAATGACAGAGTTCAAACTGGAAGGTATATAGTTATCCAGTTCTGTTTTTTCTGCATAAATAGGTCATGCATAGGCAAAGTAACTTCCAGACATTCAGAAAATGGTTATCTATGATTACAATCTTGATTAAATGCAAATAATAGTCCTGCCTGACCTGCCTACCTGTGGTTTGCAGTGAAAATCAAAAGATGAAACAGATGTGAAAATACTCTGCTAAATGGGAGACTTGTTATTGGAATGAGGAATTATTGTTACTATTAAGTTTTTGTTTTGTTTTTCTCTTATAGATAGTAAACTGTAGCAACTAACATTCAACTTCTGTTGTTCCATTTTAGAAAACATTGTTGTTTATAATCACACTCTACAAACTTTACAAGAAGGGCTCAGCTATTTTTCAGGCTTTGCTAGCCAACCCAGAAGGAAGTGGTCTCCGAATTCAAGACAATAATAATATCTTCCTGTCCTTGGGTCTGCAAGAGAAAATTTTGAAAAAACTTCTGACAGTGGAAAACAAAGTGAAGGACCTAGAAGGGATAATCATTGCTCAAAAACCTGCCACGAAGAGGGATTGTTCCTCTGAGCCCTACTGCAGCTGCTCTGACTGCCAGAGTCCCTTGCCCACATCAGGGTTTACTTCCCCATTTGAAATGTGATGGACTCCAATCTTTTCCAGAAAAGCACTGTTTCCCTCATGTGTGCCATGGCGTATCAATATAGAGAACTCTATTGAAATTACCCTGCAAAAACTGGCTCTCTATTTAGTAGCGCTGAACTCTACTTGTATGTATGGTGGGGTAAAGTGGGATACAGTGGTAGTTTACAATGTCTCTAGGATTGTGGTGTACACTCAGCAGGCTGGAGACCATAAGCTGCCATAGAGGGGAGAGGATAGCTGAGCTGGAATCTAAGGCTGTAGAAAGAGAAGGGAGGGTGGTCAGGTGTATGGCCTTGAGGTCCATGTCGACAAGGTTAGACTAAATATAATAAAAAGTAGGGGGTGGGCACGGTGGTTCACACCTGTAATCCCAGCACTTTGGGAGGCCAAGGCGGGCGGATCACAAGGTCAGGAGGTCAAGACCATCCTGGCTAACACGGTGAAACCCCGTCTCTACTGAAAATACAAAAATTAGCCGGGCATGGTGGCGGGCACCTGTAATCCCAGCTACTCAGGAGGCTGAGGTAGGAGAATGGCGTGAACCCGGGAGGCGGAGCTTACAGTGAGCCAAGATAGCACCACTGCGCTCCAGCCTGGGAGACACAGCGAGACTCCCTCTCAAAAAAAAAACCCAAAAAAACAAAAAAACAAAAAAACAAAAAAAAGGAGGAAAGTGCTGTTTGAGGGCCCTGCAATGGACTGTCCTTTAGAGGTAGGCTGACCTCCGTGCTGGTCTTTGGCCAAGGTATATATGCAGTCCAGGGGTCTCCTGCAATAATTACTCAAAAGTGGGCAAGGGTGGGAGTAGATACAGACTGACGTAAAGGAGACTGACTTTATCCAACTTTTACTGATACCTACTCTATGCTAAGCATTGTGATAATCCCTAGGAATCTTTCCTGAGTGCTTCAGGAGCACTCAGTTTGGCTAGACAGACAAGTAATTTCAGACCAGGGACTTATTATACAGTGGGGTCATAACTTTTTGAGTCAGAGTCTCGCTCTCTCACCTTATGTCTACAAAAAATCAAAAAAATTAGCTGGGTGTGGTGGTGGCATGCCTGCAGTCCCAGCTACTCAGGAGGCTGAAGCAGGAGGGTCACTTGAGCCTAGGAGATTGCTGCAAGCAGCCTGGATGGCACAGTGAGACCTTGTCTAAAAATATATATATACATATTTATATATATATACATATTTATGTATAAGTATTATATATATACATATTTATATTTATATATAAATATAATATATATTATATATTATATATATATAGAGAGAGAGCAGGCTCCAAAGTGGCATCTTCCTAAGGGAAGGGTAATCTTGACCATTTGTAATTTCCGCCTGATCCACTGGAGTTAAAATGCCACCCCTGGATGAGACTTCCCCGTATCGTGTACTAAATACAAAAACAGGTGGGTGAATACAGGAGGGGGCCAGGAAAGGCTTTGCAAAGGACGTGACATTGAGGTGTCCCATAAATGATTACATAGGCAGACAAAGAAATGGAAGATACTATTCCTGAGGGGGATCATCATGGAAGTATATTTTTATATTATTATTATTATTTCTTTTTTGAGACAGTGTCTTGCTCTGTTGCCCAGGCTGGAGTGCAGTGGCGCAATCTCCGCTCACTGCAAGCTCTGCCTCCTGGGTTCAGGCCATTCTCCTGCCTCAGCCTCCCAAGTAGCTGGGACTACAGGCACCCACTACCACACCTGGCTAATATTTTGTATTTTTAGTAGAGATGTGGTTTCACCATGTTAGCCAGGATGGTCTCAATCTCCTGACCTCATGATCCACCCGCCTCAGCCTCCCAAAGTGCTGGGATTACAGGTGTGAGCCACCGCGCCCGGCCAAAAACAGAAGGATTTTGAAGAGTAGACTGATGTCAGGTAATGAAGGACCTTGAAGGTCATACCATATAGTTTGGGCTTTATACTGTCAGAAATGGACCATTATAGGGTTTTTGTTTTTGTTCTTTTTTAACAGAGTAACACAGAATTAGTAGCCTATATGAGAGACAGAGCGTATGAGCTAGAAAGCAGAATGAGCTAGATGCAAAACAAATAACAGCTGTTCTTGTTAGGGTACCCAGGCTGGAGTACAGTGGCGTGATCTCTGCTCACTGCAACTTCCACCTCCCAGGTTCAAACAATTCTCCTGCCTCAGCCTCTGAATTATAGGCACCCACTACCATGCCTGTTTTTTTTTTTTTTTTTGTATTTTTTAAAAAATTTACTTATTTTTATTTTAGATTTGGGGGTACAGGTGCAGGTGTGTTACATGGATATATTGCATGATGCTCTGAGCTTCAACTGAATCTGTCACCCAGGCAGTGAACATAGTATCCAATAGCTATTTTTTCTATTTTTAGTATAGACAGGGTTTTGCTATGTTGGCCAGGCTGGTTTCAAACTCCTGGCCTCAAGTGACCCACCCCCCTCGGCCTCCCAAAGTGTTAGGATTACAGGCGTGAGCCACTATGCCCAGCCAAGGGAGATCATTCTTTTCTTGGGGCCTGAGCACTTATGGCCAGGGCTTTAGTTAAGGGACCTTAAATGCTTGGTAAGCAGAGAATCAAGGCAAGATAGGGGAAAAACTTGAGAGAGCAACTGTATCATATAGCTTAGGGTAGATGGACTACCCTACAGCAATGTCTATCACTCTAGGGATAATCATCTTTATCCTTCAAATTCAGTCATTTTCCTTTATTTATTTATTTGTGAGACGGAGTCTTGCTCTGTCACCCATGCTGGAGTGCAGTGGCGCAATCTCGGTTCACTGCAAGCTCCGCCTCCCGGGTTCACGCCATTCTCCTGCTTCATCCTCCTGAGTAGCTGGGACTACAGGTGCCCGCCACCACGCTCGGCTAATTTTTTGTATTTTTAGTAGAGATGGGGTTTCACCGTGTTACCTCATGATCCTCCCGCCTCAGCTTCCCAAAGTGCTGGGATTACAGGTGTGAGCCACTGCGCCCAGCCCCTTTATTTATTTTTATAGAGATGAAGTCTCACTGTGTTGCCTTGGCTGGTCTCGAACTCCTGCACTCAAGCAATGATCCCACCTTGGCCTCCCAAAGAACTGAGATTACAGGTGTGAGTCAATACACCCTGCCAGTCTTTCTCCTTTAGCAAAAGCCTGCCAATAGCCTGTTTTGAGGTTCCCATTTTTAGACTCCACATGGGTCAGCCCTTCTATTAGCACTGTCTTTCTGAAAAGAGAAACAAGTGATTATTCACTTTCCATAATTCACTAGTTCTCCACTGCCACCACATTAGTCTGCACTACCATCTCTCACCTGGTTTTTTTTTCTTTTTTTCTGATATCCTTGGCAACTGCTAAATCATCTGGATTCTTGAAATGGCCTCCTAACTGCACTCCCTCCTTCCATTCCCCATTAAATTTACTCTCCACGTTGTAGTGAGGATTGTCTGCTGAAAAGTCTGCAATGCTCTGCTCAAAATCCTGCAATGGCTTCTTCTTTCATTCTAAGTAAAAGTCTTTTAACTAAAAGACTGCATGATGGCATGGATCTGTACTGCCCGTCTTCCTTACTCTTTCCACAGCTTCTTGCCATTCCTCAGATACGATAAGCACTGGCCAATCTCAGGGCCTTTGCACTTGCTCTTCCCTCTGACTGGCAGTTTCCTCAGATATCCACATGGCTTCTTCTCTTACTTTTTTGGGGGGTCTCAAATGCCAGTTAATCTGAGAAGGCTTCCTTGACCAACTTATGTAAAGCAGCACCCCTCACACCAACATGCTGTATTGCCTTTTTACTGCTTTTTCTTCATAGCACTTATCACCACTTCCACTTTTACTATTAAATATTTGCTTATTATTTATCAAACACTGCATCCACCCCAGCTAAGAATGTAAGCTCCAGGAGAGGGGCTTTGGTTCACTGCTATATCCCTGGCACCCGGAAATGCGTCTGGCATTTCACAGACATTCAGTATTGATTGAATGAATGAATTCCAGTCAGTCTTGGCTTTTTGAAACCTGGGCCTCCTACTCTCCTATCTCTTCAGACACATGGTGACCGATCAATGCTATGATGCCCCCCTCCCAAGCAGTAGCTAACCTTTATTGGGCACTCAGAGCCATCTACATTGCTAGGAGCTTTACATGAATTTTCTCATTTGATCTTAACAATACAAGAAAGTAAGTACATACTATGTTATTCTCATGTTACTGAGGAGGATCTGATGCACAGACAGATTAAATAACTCGCTAATACATGGTGCAGCCATGGCTGACAATCAAGCAGCTTGACTCTAAACCTGTGCCCTTAGCCACAAAACTTGGGTGGTAGAAGCTCCTGTGAGGCTTTGGACTCAAAGACAGCTGAAGACAAGAGTGAAGAGGGCATAGCAATGATGGCCTGAGGGAGAGAAAATTTTGAAAAAGTGTTTACCCCTCATATTTTTAAGTTGGTATCTAACAGGTTTCATCATAAATTCAAATAGTTGCAATCGATGTAAATTCTTGCAAATTATAAATACTGACATTTTAAGATAAAACTGTTAAATCATTGCAACTTTTCAAGATAAAGAATTTTAAAAACTGTTAAATCACTCTTTATAATGTATCCAAGAGAATCTATATAACTGAATAACCACATTATCCATTAAAACATACACTAATGAGCTCTTCAACATTGTTCTTTTATTATCTCTAACATATTTAGATTGTACTCTAACAAAATGTTATTCAAATGTAATACTTTGATGTCTGAACAACCTTTTATTTATTTATTTATTTATTTTATTTATTTATTCTTTTCTGAGACGGAGTCTAGTTCTGTCGCCCAGGCTGGAGTGCAGTGGCGCGATCTCGGCTCACTGCAAGCTCTACCTCCCGGGTTCACGCCATTCTCCTGGCTCAGCCTCCCGAGTAGCTGGGACTACAGGCGCCCACCACTGCGCCCGGCTAATTTTTTGTATTTTTAGTAGAGACGGGGTTTCACTGTGATCTCGATCTCCTGACCTCGTGATCCACCCGCCTCGGCCTCCCAAAGTGCTGGGATTATAGGCGTGAGCCACCGCGCCTGGCAACAACCTTTTATTGATCACTTC